TCGTTACGGTTTTATTAATTCTTAGTTTATTAGAATTGTTTATTATTATCGTCATCTGTATTCCCCCATCGTGTTTTCCTTCTTTTCTTTTTACTTTATTTATGTCAAACGGACGATCATAAAGAGCGAAAAATCCCCATTTTGTATATAACGACCCGATGTTGGAAAGTCAACGCGAATGGAATTCGCTTGAAATAGTATTATACTTGTTGTTTTTCATTTAATAATATGTACAGCTAGCGGTGTCTACGCGAAGCCACGTTCACGGTGGATCACGTGGACGATAGTCAAAAAGTATTGGAAGAGACGATTTTTTTTTTTAAGTGGACTTCTATGTTTATCTATAATATACCTGTTTTTACTTAAAATAAATAACCCTCTTTTAAGAAGAAAAATGCGCCTCTCGGTCTTACAAGCCCGATGTATTTACTCATTTATACTCTGTCACACTCTCACACCGTTTTGCTCTCTCTCCCTGTTCTCTCCCACACAGTCTCTACTACCTTTCTTTTTCTTCATCACCTTTCACGAGCAATGAATTTCTTCAGGATATGCCTACTCCTGATATGTCCGCGACTATTAAAAATAACCCATTCGCAGTCCTTGCTTCAACGTTTCTTCAGGTACCGATTGACGCGTCGAAACAGAACGCATCGTTCTATATCAATTAACCGACTCGATGCAAAAATAACAGGTACATATTGCGTGTTCGTATCACCGGAAATATTATCGGGAAAATTTAACGTAACAATTTACGTTACTTTCGCATCGACTGGACACGAGGAACGAAACAAAATATCTTGGCTTCTGGTCGACGGTGCATTCCGTTAGGCAAGGAAGAAGGGACTGCGAATAATCGAGAACTTACTACTTACATACATATTTAACAAACACGCAGTCTTATCAAGTAGAACCCGTGAACGAACTCTGACAAGTAAAAAGGTATTATAGTAGCCTATTATACTCTAGTAGAAATTTGGTTCGACTCGTCCCGCAACCAGGGCGACGAAACGATTATACGCTGGATATAGCGCGAAATAGTTAGCTACCCAAAAAATCCTCCTAGACATCCTTCGCCGCACACACGCACGCACAGTATCCTCTCAAAGGACGTAAAAAATACGCTCGGTCGAAAAACTAAACTGAAAAAACTTTCATAATCGTGATACGACACGTCACAGGTTTAAAATAAAGCGAGTCTGATTAATTCGAAGAGTACAGAAAATCCAGTAAAGTCGAAGATTAAAAAAACGATTCCCGATGCTTATCGCGTACCTCAAGAAGATACTGCAACTGCGTAGAATGGCCGAACGAAAAAGCGGTATGACCGATGTGCCTCGTCGAGCTCGTTTCCTTATTCGTCTAAGCTCAGGGTCAACAAATTCCAATTATACAACTAAGTATTTTATATGATAAAAAAACGAACTCGAAGGAGCAATCACAGGTACACACGCGATTCTTTCTTCTTACGATTCTAAACTCACACGCACACGCACGCACACACATTTATATCATCATGTACATACATTCTGAGTTCCGTTTGCCTCTTATCTCATTAAACGTGTTCGTGAAACATTTCTTCCAAATGATTCATTTCGTATCTTCGCCTTTTTCTTTATCTCTTCCGCTTTTTTCTTTTTTTTTTCTTCACTTTCCTTGGAACACTTAAGTTATTAGCGCTACGACATACAAAAGATAAGGCCGCCACGATAATACACTGACTAGATCAGTTTCATTTTCTCTCTCTCGCTCTCTCTCTCTCTCTCTCGTTCAGCTGCATTTCCCTTTCTCACACAATGTGGACCAACGTCCTATTTCTTTTTTATATCAACAAAAATATTCAGGACACGGTATCATCTCTGTCAACAAAATATACTATATGTCTCGTTTCGCGTCCTGAGTACTAAAATCTACGTGGGCGCGACGATCGATCGCGGATCGAAGCGTCGCGCGCTGGGGAAGTATCCTTCGCTCGATCAGAAGTGTAATAAAAACTCGCATAAGCACAGCATAGGCCCTGACGAATTCTCTTTACCACGCGAACGTGTACGATTAGTGTACAGAACGAGAAGACGGCGGTTTTACAGTGTCGGAGAAGTACAACTTCTCAATAATCGAGTTTCTGTAGAATATTCGCAATTTATAATAGCGCGAAAAATATTCTGCGTTTTAAAATAATTTCATTCCTTTACACGTTTGAATCCATAATTAAAAGAAAACATTCTGCCGCCTTCCGTTGTGTGTACATCGTCGTAATTTTCGGGTGTCTACCTCGACATCCTCTCGTTTCTATATCGCAAGAGTCTCGTGAACAATGTCAACTCCGATATCCGGCGCCGTAAAAGTAACGCGTAGAAACACGAACCAAGCAAAGAGGAGACGATTGTTTGGGAACAGTAACGCATTAAAAAATCGTTTTCGAACGTAGAGCTGAATATACAACCGGTAAAATTCACCTTTCGATTTCTCCATGATCGTGGTGTCACAGTGATCGGTAAAAAGTCGGTTGACGTGGATAAAGGACGGAGGTGGCTAACTAGGAACTGCGAGGCACTGCAAAAGGTAAGAACATGAGCAGCGTTTTCTACTGGCATTCGATTGCCGCAGTCTCGAAACTGAAACTTTTTCTGTCGTTCCTCTCTTTCAATCCCGTTGAAACGTTAAGTTTTGCTTCTCTTTTTTTTAAATTATTTTTCATGAATTTTCTTGTTTTCTTCTAAATCGTGTAATCGGCGCTTGAAAAATCCTTAAGTATCCCCGAAACTACAACGCAAGAAACGTTCTATTTCCGCGCGAAATACTATTGACGTGTGTGTACTCTCTGGCGTATCTAAAAGTGAAAAAATCTTGTTTAAAATTTATCTGCTATTGCGTCGAAGTATATAAAGTATTATTATTTCTTTTCTCTCGTTAAAGTGCACTAACGCGGTGAAAAAACGCCGAACGATCGTCGCGCGCTAAGGACGAACTCACGCCGACAGCTTCTACGTCGAACATAGTCGTATGGGTTTCATTAATGTATGTAGATTATCAAAAAACATCACAGTCGGGTTACTAGATTTTAGTGAAGCGTCCGCTGAGAATACGTACTTGACTATATTTTCACCGAACTCCGTACCGCAAGTCGCCTCCCGTCGTCTCTCGTACACAATATCATCCCCGCTCCTCCCTCTCTCTCTCTTCTTCGCCAAGTTCGATAAAAATATAATCGTTCTTCCATTCCATCCAAGCTTTTCCTTCTCGCGCGACCATATTCATCATCGTTCGACCCTACTTTCCTTATCGACTGAACGGAGTTTTTCCAATCGCTGCCCTTCCCCTTCAACATCCCTCTGTCACACATCTCGCTCTCGTCGCGGAACAACTCACGTCGAAGCGTTTCTTCTTCGTGCAGGCGCCTCCGCGCGTCTCGTGGTCGCGCGGCCCAGAAATATCGGCAGAAAACCAAGAAACGACCTAAAGGAACGAATTCTACGACGTGCAAGTGACGCGTATCACTTTTTGTCAAACAGGGGCAATTTGCTGCGCACTGCACCCTCGCAAACGACTAACCTCTGCGCCGCTGAGATGCTGCACAACGGTACAGGACCCTCTAAGCTTGCCTTCAACAACGTTAATCTACTAGAACCGGCATCGTGATCCGCGAGACGTAAGCTGCCGGCTTGCTTCCTCTCGAAGTACTCGACGATCTTGGATATAGTTTTACTGGAAGACCCGATGCCGCTTAATCTATCCTCCCAACAGGAGTCACCGCCGCCTAAGCTCGCGATATCCTCGGACGAGTCGGTGTAGATCGAGCTTGTTCGATGATCGTCCAAGAGGAAGAGGCTACTCGCAGCGGAGCTGCTCAGAGTAGAGGTGTGTCGACGATTGGGCGGCTCCGGGCTGAGATCCTCGCCGACGCAGCTCCAAAAGCCAGATTCGCAGCTGCCGCGCCTTCTTGGCTCCCATCCGTCCCGGAAAAGCGGATGAGTGAACAAGCAGGCGGCGCCTACCTTCGTGGCAACCTAAAACCAACATTATCGTTCCATCTCTAATTAACTTTACCGAAACGCGTCTTCTAATTACTCCAACACTACCTTTACGCTACCTTTAATTACCAGGTTACGTATCTAATCGATAAGCGTATCTTTCGGTACGAAATAAATTTCGTTTAATTTCCTAACTTTAGCAAAAATAAAATTCAAGATAAGCGTAATCAAGGATGAACTTTTCTCTACGCCTACCTTTCTCTCCCATTTTTTCCTGGCGGTAGGACTGCTCGGCTCCGAGTTAGGCTTCTTCCTGTCCAAGATCTTCGCGATGCTGTCGTTCTGCGCCGGCTTCATCTTCGAGATGGCATCTGTAACACTCGGCCTGACATCCTCCAGCGACGGAAGCTCCAAACAACTGGAGAACAGGTCCCCGAGAATTTTCTTCACGCCGCCGAGCGCGTGGAAAGGATTCGCCGTCATTGGCCTGTAGTGTGGATCCCTTCTGCTAGCTAACTCAGCCACTCTCCTCGCGGAATGACACCTCGCCTTGTCGGAAGGTGTCGCGTTGTCGCAGCCTCTCGCGTCCGCCGATTGACTCCGGAGACGAGCAGTCTTTCGTTTCGTAGACCGTGGTTCCCGAGTGATCTCGTCCATGCTGGACATCAGAGCAGGATCGACAGACTGACGCTTGCCTATGTTGTTCTTCGTCTCCTCCTCGTAGTTGCTGATCATAGTCTCTAGCCTGGAGGTGATCTCCGGGAAGGTCGGTCTCGATTTTGGCTCGTACTGAAAGTAGAGCGATTCGCGTGGCCGTGAAATGCTTGTAAACTGAGAATACGCGAGTCGAGATGATCTCAGAACTGTTTCGTAACTCGTACGATAAAATTCTCGTCCGACGAGTCACGAACTACTAACTTTTCACCGTTTTCAATCCCACATCTCTCGAGAGAGCTAAATTGACTTCGCCAAAGGTTCCATGCTACTCACCGTGCAACAATGAAAGGCGAGCTGCAGAAAAGCCGGTGGATCAGCTGCCGCGCAGATCTCTGCCACGGCCATGTAATCGAGGCCAAAGTTATCTGACCGTGGCAGAACGTCCGGATCGGCGGGCACGCGGCCGATCAGCTCGCAGACCACGATGCCGAACGAGAATATGTCCGACCTGTGATCGTACCACTGACCCTTCAAACACTCCGGCGACATCCAATAAGGACTGCCCACCGTGCTCAGTCTGTAGCCTGAGCTCGGATCGGGGATCTTAGCTGCCAAGCCAAAATCACCGACCACAGCGGTCAACTCCGACGTGTTCTCGTCTTTTTTAATCAACACGTTCTTCGACGTCAAGTCCCGATGAAAGAGTCCACGGCTGTGAAGATAGGTCATCCCTCTGGCAACGTCCCTCGCCAGGTTCATCCTGATCAAATGAGGAAGCGGCGTAGACCTCGACAGGATCAGCTGCTCCAGGCTACCGCCGTTTATGTACTCGGTCAGGGCGTGCAGTTGACCCTCGTGCACGCACACTCCCATGAACCTGCAACAAGCCAAGAATCGACGTGTGTTGAAAACGGTGAGAAGTTGGAAAAGAGCTAGCAGATGGCGTTTTCTCATAGACCTGGAGTACAGTTTTATTCAATTATTCTACGCGCCTCGGGCAGTAAGTCTGCTACTTTCCTCGCTGCACAATTATCAACCTTGCTGTTATTATTATAATTCTACCGAATAAGGTTACCGCGAGATACTTCCTTTTCCCCTCTCTCTCTCTCTCTCTCTGTTATTATCGAGCTAACCGCGAATATCTAGTCGAGGGAAGATCCTCGAAACGCTCCCTTTAAAGGAGAGTATCTCGGAGATTCCCGAGTAAGAAGAATTGTAGCGAGATGGAATTTTTCGGAGCGAAGATTATCCGTCCTTGCGCGGAAAGGCCAAAGAGCCAAAGACGTCGAAGGCGAGGCGAGACTTTTCTGGCTAGTGTCGGCAGTGAACGAGGTTTAATTACCAAGCAAGTCGCGGCCGCGGCTCTCTTTGCCACGCCGCGCACGAAACGCCAAGTCGTTTCG